CTGCTGAATGTCTGACCTCCTGGCACCTTGACCTCGGGCCTGGCCTGGGGAGCCAGGAGCAGGCTGACCAATGAGAGACCAAAGGGCCTGGGTGGACACGGGGACAGGCTCCCTGCTGGAATGTAAATATGTGATCACGTAATAAACGGCAGCAGCAGCCCCGCGTCTCTCGTCGTGGCTCCACGCAGATGTGGGCAGGGGGAGGTCGTGAGGCTCGGTTATTGAAAGTAAAGGTGTCAATCCACGGTTCTCAACGGGGCGATTCTGTCATGCCCGCCCGACCCGGAAGGCGTCTGGAATGTCTGGAGATACGGTTTTCACAGCTCGGGGGATGCTACCATCCCAGGGTGCTGCAAATGGCCTACGAGGCTCAGGACAGACCCCCAAGTTATCAAGCTTCATCCCGATGGCAGTAGTGCTGAGGTGGAATCTGGTCTAACTGGACCACTGGGGCTGTTCTTGTTTTTATATTAGAGAGACGGGGAGAAAGCATCTCTCAGTGGGCAATAGGGCACGCCACGCCACAGTCTCTTCTCCATTTCTCTACCCTGTCAGGGGTTGGGACATGCATGAACACACCCAGCACGTTTTTCAAGCTGCCAGGGCTGGGATTCAAACCATGGCCTGCCCACGTGGGATCTTGCTCTCTTACCCACGAGGCTACTGGCCAGCCCTGGCCCACATGTTCTTTTTTTTTTTTTTTTTTTGGTGGTTTTTTTTCTTTTGGGACTGGGTGCCCGCCCAGGACACAGAAGGGCATGTGTGCTCGCCAGAGACAGAGAAAGGAAAAGTGAGAAATCACACACACACACACACCCCAGGGGGAAGGCCATGCTGCAATCTCTTCTCCATTCTCCTCTGGGGATTTTGGGCATGACGCACACACACCTGGAGTGAGATTCAAGCCGCTGAGCCTGGGACTTGAACTGCAGGTCAGCTATGTGGAATCCAGCTGCCTTAACCTCCACACCACCTGCTTGCCCCCTGAACCACACATCCTTTACATTGCATCTCGGGGTAGAGTTAGAGCCTAAAATCCTTTCGGGTTGGAAGGCCTCATAGTCATTCATTCTCTTTTCACCCACCCACCCATCTACCCACCTACCCCTCATCCTCCCACCTACTCACCACCCTCCCTTCCATTCACCTCTTCATCCGTATGTCCATCTGACCTGGGTTTGCAGAAAGCACAGTCTGCACCACCACCTTCTAGCACCCGTTCACAGACGTGGATAAAGCGCAGACTTGTGCCTGTGGCAGTCTTTCGTTGCCTGGCCTCTGACCGTCTTCCATCACTCGACACCACCTCACCGAAGGCCCTCCCCAAATGCCCTCGGATGGGTTCTTCTCCCTGTACGGCGGTTACTGGCCAAGAGAGGGCTACGGCCAGACCATCTCGGAACCTGATACATGGGAACCAGCACTGGCGTGGGACTGTGCACCTTCAATGCATGGTCCCTGACTTGAGATGTCTAAGTCACCCCTGACCACAAGACTCAGATAAACAGGGGCCCTGGACCCATTGCCAGCCTCTCGGGAGTCTGGGCTTCAGACTGTCCCATCACCTTACTCTGGCCATTTGGGTAGAAAAACCATGGTCCTCTGCAGGGCCCACTGGCCACCTCCCCTTGTCCATGACCTTCCCACCAAACCCTGCCTTCTTCCTCTGACCATGGCTCTCATACCTGGGCCACAGCCTCCCCTAGGCCTCTTCCTCCTAGCCATTGCCTAGTGTCTTCTTGGAGCCTAGGTGGCTCCTGTGGGGACACTGGGGTCCAGACCACTCTTCTCTGTACCCCTTGCCCTGGTCCAGGATCTCTGCCCATCTGCTAGCCCTTGTTTCATGTCCATCCTCAACCTCCCACGGCTCCTCAGGGCCCTGACTACTGGGCGTAAATCCTTACATCCACCTTGGGCCTAGCCCATGTCTAGTCTCCTCTGCTTGTCACCAGCTACAGAGTCCCTGAGGGCTGCAGACACTCCGTGCCTGTGGCCATCCTCTCCCAAGAGGCCAAGCCCACCTCTTTGCCCATCAGGAATCTCATTAAGCCATTCGGATCCACCACGTCCTCTGCATAGCCTGCCCAGGGCAGGATCTGGTAGTCCTTTCCCTGTGCCTTCAGGTCCTATCAGTGCACCCTTCATGCCAATCAGCTGAGGTCAGTCTCACTGTCCCCGATTCACATCTAACAGAGAAGCCCAGTGACTGCTCAGAGCCACAGCTGCTTTGGGCCTCCCTGGAGTCACCCTTTTGTGAGTCTCACTCATTTTCTGGAGTCCCAGGCTTCCCCCTCCCTACACTTCTGTTGTTTAGAAGGGCTTTAAGTTTTCTAGAGAACATGGTGTTTGATGGCTGGTCTGGACTGTTTTTGCCCCAAACTGGTCAAATCTGGGACAGATGAAGAATAGAGAGGCACCTTTTGGCCTGTCAAATGCTGGGCCATCTTCCTGGACCGCTACAGTAAACAACTGCTTTTCCACGCAGGAATCTGTTGTCTGCCTTTCTCCTGAGCCCCTGGCTGCATCAGGTACTATAGAGACAGTGGGTGGAGCAGTGCCGGGCCCCCCTCAGGGCGACTCCAAAGAGCTGTTGGATACCTTCAGGTCTGTTCCCAGCAGATGGCGGCAGAGCAACCACAGGATTCAACCACGGGGTCAGGACTCCTTGAGAGCCTTGCCTTTTGTTGTTGTTTTTAAATGTTTTTGCCATAGGGTGTGTGCACTCCCCAGAGAGAGGGAAAGTGAGAAGTCACCTCCCACAGGGATGGCCATGCCACAATCCCTTCTACATTCTCCTATTGAGATTCTGGGCGCGCACGCGCGCACACACACACACACACAAACACACACAAAGCGACTGGAGTGATTTTCAAGCCACTGGGTCAAGGACTCAAACTATGGTCAGCTATATGGGAATCCATCGCCTTACCACCACACCACCTGCTGGCCCCAAGCTATGCCTCTTTGATTCCACCTCTCAGAGGATCATGTTCTACTTAAAAGTTTGGCTGCATTAACAGCGGCTTGCCATGCTCTGCACACACACATATGCTTCATCCTCCCGACCATGCTGCAAAGAAGTATTGTTCTAGTTTACAGACCTGCACCTCTAAACAAGCACCCCAAGTACCTTGCCCACGTCACACAGGGTCACATGCTTATGCCTGGCCTGGCTGGGTGAGACCCTGGGGAAACTGACTCTGGACCTCATACTGCTAAAGACCTCAGGAGCAAACACCAAGCCCACTGAGCTCCCAAGGGGCAGGCAGCTTCCACCTATTGCCTAGCCACCATGCTGCCTGCAAGGCTGCCCAGGCCTGGCCTTGTGGGGGTGGCCTTGGGCTTGCTCCCCAGGGAGCCCAGCTTGAAGGGATCCTCTCATTCCACTAAGAGGGAAGAGAACTCTCATTCCACTAAGAAGGAAGAGAGCCTCTTGCCCTACTGGCCAGTGGCCATGAGACTCACCATCGCAGGCCACTAAAAACAAAAGTGTATCACTGAAGTTGGAAGCCACAGCTGCCTTCCCCTCCGCAAACCAAAGACCAGCTCCTGTTCCTGATGCTTTTGGGGGGTGAAACACCCAGGTGGACCGCCCCTTGGGATACTGGATCTGGTGGGGATGAGCCCAACACTCATCAGCTTGGGCTCCAGGTTTTCAAGGAACTGAAGGTGGTACCCCTTGAAATAGGCCAGAAACAAGTGACAGATGTCTGGACCCACGGAGCAGGCAGGAGGCCCTGGTGTTCCCTGCCTGGGAACACTGCATTTGCAGAGTCCAGTGTCCTTGTCATTGCCTGTGAATAAGTCCAGAGGGCATCAGAGGAGGGAAGATGTCCTAGAGCTGGGGGGACCGAGGGCCCTCAGGGCAATTGTTGCTCAGAGGAATCGTTTCTGGGGGAGCAGTTACTTGTCTGTGATTTTGGAAACCACCTCCTGGTGAGAAGCCACCACAGGTTCCACTTCCAATAAGCATGTCCTTAGCACCTACCTACTCCACACGTCCCAGGCACTGAGGGTGCAGCTGTGGACCAGACAGGACCTTCCTGTCCTTCAGACAAGGCTTTGTCGTCATCCTAACACCCGTGCTAGGGCTCTGCCCACGCCGCCAGCAGTCCTCAGCCTCACTTGCCCTGGATACAGCCCCCTCACCCCTGCCCTGTCCACGTCCCTTCTCTGATACCTCTTCCATTTGTCCCTTTGCTCAGAACACCCTGCCCTTTGATTTCTGAATCACTCACCTGGCTGCTTGCCTCCAGGAACTCCGGTTCTTTTACAAAATGCTTGTTGTCACCTCTACACCTCTTTCCC